GTTTAACAATTTGTCGCTTATCTTAATGCTGTCAAATCGCGAACGCCATGTTGTTTTCATAGCCGTCTTAATATTATAATACAGCAAATAATTAAAAATATTTATCGTTATTTTGACTTTATTTTTGACTTTAGCGGAAAAGTCATTATGAACTTTTTTATTTAAAATTGATGCTTTAACAGAAAAAAATATAATATACAGGGGTTTCCACTTAAAAAAATGTTATTTTACTGAAAAAATGAAAATAACGACTCTCAATTGTTTTTTTTTATTTCTCATTTTTACCAGCGTTAAAAATGCTACTAGTTTGCTAATTCAAACAACTTTGTATTTTCACTAATAACAAAGTTACTAATGGTGGACACTTAATTTGGATAACCCTGTATACGTGTATATATACGTGTGTATATACGTGTGTATATACGTGTGTATATACGTGTGTATATACGTGTGTATACGTGTATATATACGTGTGTATATACGTGTGTATATACGTGTATATATACGTGTGTATATATACGTGTGTATATATACGTGTATATATACGTGTATATATACGTGTATATATACGTGTATATATACGTGTATATATACGTGTATATATACTGTATATATACTGTATATATACGTGTATATATACGTGTATATATACGTGTATATATACGTGTATATATCCGTGTATATATCCGTGTATATATACGTGTATATATACGTGTATATATACGTGTATATATACGTGTATATATACGTGTATATATACGTGTATATATACGTGTATATATACGTGTATATATACGTGTATATATACGTGTATATATACGTGTATATATACGTGTATATATACGTGTGTATATATACGTGTATATGTTATTTTATTTATAGTTTAATTTATGTTTATTGGTGTCTGACCAATAAATGCCCGCATTGGGAATAAGTGCCCGCATTGATTTTTTTAAAGAACCCCCCTTTATAGAAAATATTTTTTTTTAAATTATTCTGAAAATTCCAGGATAGGTACACACTAAAATTCGTTAATTTTTGCCTATTTTTAGATATCTTAAACGTATAAGAAGCGGAATTTAATCAAACTACCAGTGAAATTATTGTAGAACATACGTTTAGGTTATAATTAATAAACGAACTCGCTTATTGTACTATTTTAAGTAAAACACTTTTATATATACACGTATATATACACGTATATATACACGGCTATATACACGGATATATACACGGATATATACACGTATATATACACGGATATATACACGTATATATACACGTATATATACACGGATATATACACGTATATATACACGTATATATACACGTATATATACACGTATATATACACGTATATACACGTATATATACACGTATATATACACGTATATATACACGTATATATACACGTATATATACACGTATATATACACGTATATCATGCAAGAAATGTGCGTGAATTTTTAAATAGACAATTTAATAATCGTTGGATCGGCCGTGGCGGTTTTGTACCTTGGCCGCCAAGGTCTCCGGACTTAAATCCTTTAGACTTTTGTTTGTGGGGTTGGCTAAAAACTCTAGTGTATAAAACACCGGTTAATACACGCGAAGAATTACGTGCTCGAATTGAGGAAATGAGTACAGTGATCAGAAATCAACCAGTGATTTTATTGCGTGCTTGTAAAGAGACATGGCTAAGACGCGCCAAGCTGTGCGTCGAGCAAAACGAAATCATTTCGAACAGTTTTTGTGACATGCTTTTGGGCGCACAGGTCCGCACTGAAATACTTGTCGGGAGGATACTTTATAAAACAAGGTAACATTTTTTTATTAATTTTTTTTTATTTTTACACACATATTTTGGTTTATCTTCCTTCTACAATCATTATCTGAAAATTAATGACTCAACTTCAAAGTCACCCTGTAGTATATATACGTGTATATATACGTGTATATATACGTGTATATATACGTGTATATATACGTGTATATATACGTGTATATATACGTGTATATATACGTGTATATATACGTGTGTATATACGTGTGTATATACGTGTATATATACGTGTGTATATACGTGTGTATATACGTGTATATATACGTGTGTATATATACGTGTAGATATATACGTGCTTATATATCGTGTATATATACGTTGTATCATATATACGTGTATATATACGTGTATATATACACGTGTATATATACGTGTATATATACTGTATATATAAGTGTATATATACGTGTATCTATACGTGTATATATAGTGTATATATACGTGTATATATACGTGTATATATACGTGTATATACGTGTATATATACGTGTATATATACGTGTATATATACGTGTATATATACGTGTATATATACGTGTATATATACGTGTATATATACGTGTATATATACGTGTATATATCCGTGTATATATACGTGTATATATCCGTGTATATATACGTGTATATATCCGTGTATATAGCCGGTGTATATAAAGTGTTTTACTTATATAGTACAATAAGCGAGTTCGTTTATTAATTATAACCTAAACGTATGTTCTACAATAATTTCACTGTAGTTTGATTAAATTCCGCTTCTTATACGTTTAAGATATCTAAAAATAGGCAAAAATTAACGAATTTTAGTGTGTACCTATCCTGGAATTTTCAGAATAATTAAAAAAAAAATATTTTCTATAAAGGGGGGTTCTTTAAAAAAATCAATGCGGGCACTTATTCCCAATGCGGGCATTTATTGGTCAGACACCAATAAACATAAATTAAACTATAAATAAAATAACATATATACGTGTATATATACGTGTGTATATACGTGTATATATACGTGTATATATACGTGTATATATACGTGTATATACGTGTATATACGTGTATATATCCGTGTATATATACGTGTATATATCCGTGTATATATACGTGTATATATACGTGTATATATACGTGTATATATACGTGTGTATATACGTGTATATATACGTGTGTATATTACGTGTTGTATATACGTGTATATATTACGTTATAATATACGTGTATATAATACGTGTATATATACTTGTATATATACGTGTATATATACGTGTATATATACCGGTATATATACGTGTATATATACGGTGTATATATCCGTGTATATATCCGTGTATATATCCGTGTATATATACGTGTATATATCCGTGTATTTATCCGTGTATATATACGTGTATATATTATCCGTGTATATATCCGTGTATATATCCGTGTATATATCCGTGTATATATACGTGTATATATCCGTGTATATATACGTGTATATATCCGTGTATATATACGTGTATATATCCGTGTATATATACGTGGATATAATCCGTTATTATCCGTGTATATATACGTGTATATATCCGTGTCTATAGCCGTGTATATATACGTGTATATTACGTGTATAATACGTGTATATATCTTTATACGTGTATATATACGTGTATATATACGTGTATATTACGTGTATATATACGTGTATATATACGTGTATATATACGTGTTATATATACGTGTATATATAAGTGTATATATACGTGTATATATACGTGTATATATACGTGTATATATACGTGTATATACGTGTATATATACGTGTATATATACGTGTATATATAGTGTATATATACGTGTATATATACGTGTATATATACGTGTATTATACGGTATATATACGTGTATATATTACGTGTATATATACGTGTATATATACGTGTATATATCGTGTATATACGTGTATATATACGTGTATATATCCGTGTATATATCCGTGTATATATACGTGTATATATCCGTGTATATATACGTGTATATATAAGTGTATATATACGTGTATATATACGTGTGTATATATACGTGTGTATATACGTGTGTATATACGTGTGTATATACGTGTGTATATACGTGTATATATACGTGTGTATATACGTGTGTATATACGTGTGTATATACGTGTATATATACGTGTATGTATACGTGTATGTATACGTGTATATATACGTGTATGTATACGTGTATATATACGTGTATGTATACGTGTATATATACGTGTATATATACGTGTATATATACGTGTATATATACGTGTATATATACGTGTATATATACGTGTATATACGTGTATATGCCCGCATTGTGTTTGGCGAACGAACTGCATATACGCAGCCGAAGTTTTATGAAGCTTAAAGGGCTGAAATTTTTGTTGAATTCGGGGTTTATGAACAAGTGTACTGAAACTATAAAGCAGAGTTCCCCAAGCTTTTTTGTGTCGTAGACCCCTTGCCATGTTTTTCCGTGTTGGTAGACCCCCTACTTATCTGATATTGATTTCCTGCAAATTTGTATTTGTAGTGAAGTTTAGTGTTAGAAACTTAAAGTAAAAACACATGTTAATTTGTACATTTATTAATTGAATTTAAATTAAAACTACTCAAAATAAAATTTTGTATCTGTTATGTAAAATATACGTAACATTAAATAAACAAGTGTCTGACCAATAAGTGCCCGCATTGAAAAAAAAATAAGAGGGATAAAATAAAAAAAAAGTTAAAAATAATAAAAAAAAAGTTTTTTACTTAAAATAGTACAATAAGCGAGTTCGTTTATTAATTATAACCTAAACGTATGTTCTACAATAATTTCACTGGTAGTTTGATTAAATTCCGCTTCTTATACGTTTAAGATATCTAAAATAGGCAAAAATTAACGAATTTTAGTGTGTACCTATCCTGGAATTTTCAGAATAATTTAAAAAAAATATTTTCTATAAAGGGGGGTTCTTTAAAAAAATCAATGCGGGCACTTATTCCCAATGCGGGCATTTATTGGTCAGACACCAATAAACATAAATTAAACTATAAATAAAATAACATAAGCAATAAGTCAATATTTTAGTGAGAAGGATGAACCTGATGCTTTAATAATAAATTATCAACATTTGGCGTCAATTTTGTAAGGGTTAATCTTAAATCTCCTCGGCTAATGATGTCCAGTCGGTTCTTTTTTTCGTTAGGAGATTGGTAACAGCGCTGAACCCCCTTTCCACTAGGTATGACGATGGAAAGGAAATTAAATATTTCCTCGCTATATTCCATAATACGGGATAAGTAGCGGGTATGTTGTTTTGCAGCCAGAATTGCTGATATCCGTTTTTAAACTGAGCCTTAAGTTCTTCGTTTGTACTTAGTTCAGTCAGTTCCTCTTGTATTATGACATTCGTTTCTTTTATGTCACCATATGGATTAATTATCCACGGTGGTATTACCATAGTCAAAATATCCTCAAACCTAGATTCAAAATCTGAATAGAGGGCATTTAAATGTTGAACGTAAGTTGAAACGTCGTCTTCCTGGCAGCTTGTCTGTGACAAATTGGGGAACTGAGAAAATTCGCCCCGTCCAATATTTTGCTTCATTAGTTTAACTCTGGCAAGAAACGCTGATGAGATGGACTTTGTTTTAATCAAATTTAAACTGTCGCCTTGTAATTGCAAATTAACCATATTAAATTTTGTAAACAAATCTGTTAAATAGGCGATGTCTGTTTTCCTCTTCATTAAATTTTCTTTTAAAATTTTATCTTTAGTATCCAGAAATTCTAGAATAGTCTCAAAAAGTGCAAAATATCTTGTCTTTCGACAGCTAGCGTACTTTAGTGTGAAGGAGTAATTGATGAAAGTGTTCGTCATTTTCTTCACACAACTGCGCAAATAACCGCGTATTCAACGCGTTGCTTCGGATTCGGTATACTGCATCAATGACTAAATGAAGTGATTCATGCAATCTAACACTCAAATTTTTAGCAACTAAATGTTGTCGATGGATGACGCAATGTATTGCTAACACCGCTGACACATTGTGTTTTAAATAGCTTATAAATCCACGATAACGTCCAACCATGGCAGGTGCTCCATCTGTAGCTACTGATATTATATTTGATAAAGGAATTGCTTTTTAAATGAAGTAATCTTTCAAAACATGAAATATTGATTCACCTTTAGTGTCGGTTATCAAAGTTCTTGCGAAGAGCAGTTCTTCGTAGATTTCTTGATTCATAATAAAACGAACATATGCCAATAATAATGCTGCATTATAAGATAAAGTTGACTCGTCCAGTTGTATAGAGAAATGGATCGTTTGCAGATAATTACATAAGAAGCTTTCAATATCAGAACTCATTTCATCAATACGTCTTTCAACAGTATTGTTGCTTAAGGGAATTCTTTTAGTGATATCGGATGCAGGTTTGTGTAAAACAGTTTTTAAAACCTCTTCAACGGCTGGCAAAATTAACTTCTCTCCGATAGTATGCGGTTTTCCGGATTTTGCTATAAGTAACGAGATATTGTAAGACGCCCGCAAACCATCATCATTTCTTTGTGACGTCGAAGCGAACATTCTGTCCAGTGAAGGTCTCTTCTGAAATTTATCTTTGAGTGTTTGAAAGTATTTCAAATCTTTCTCTGTTTTATCAGGGTGTCATCTTCTCAGATGATCTTGCAGTTTAGATGGTTTCATAGCGTCATTGCCCAAAACTTTATTGCATAAAAGGCACATAGGCGATTGTTTGTCCGGCAATGATGGAATGAAGCCAAATTTCAAATAATCAACACTGTGTCTATCTACATTTCTTTTTAGATTCGGACATGGCATCAGTCATGTGTGGGCAAAATTAAATTATTTAAATAAGACAGAATATCCAGCAGGTGTATATTAAAAATATTTTTTGATTTTTCCGAAAACATTCCATAATTCGAACATCTTCTTGCAACAATTAGCTCGAATTACGGAGATTGCACTGTAATTATATTACCGATTGTTAAAACTTTCAAAAAGAAACTATTGAGGAGTACTCGTGTAATTTTGCATCATAGAATATTTAACTACTAATAACTAAAGTCATGATTGGCGTAATTTATCTATCTTTGCTAACTACGAGTACAAAACTAAAATTTAATAAAAATAATGTACTTACTTTTCTCCAGCACTCTCAAACAAAATAACACTGACTCACTATAATTTGTGTGATATACTATCTGTTTATATTTTTTAAAATATTTTCTTAGCACTTTCCTTTTCAAGATTCCGGAAACGAATAAACGTATTTGTCTCACATTCGTATTTATAGAGTGACGAATTGAACAAGTCATTGCAAGCTCTGAGACTGCGACTTTCAGGTTTTTACAAGTTCAAAATGTATTGCGACCACAAAGCGAATACCAACATCCTACAACTTACACAATTCTATAAACGTATATAATAAATTTTTCACTTCAAAGGTACTTTTATAAATAATGTATATGTTTTGATATTATAAGATAGTATGATGTAAGTAATAGGTACCATCAGTGTATGTGTTGAGATCCACTATCGTGGACCCCCATATTCATTCCATGGACCCCCAAATTTTTTTTCGCTGACGTAGACCCCTTGCAGGTTGTCATAGACCCCTAGGGCTCGATATAGACCACTTTGGGAATCAATGCTATAAGGAATATCTTGTATATTTCTTGCCTGTGCGAGTCATACGACAGAAACACCAATAAATTGATTTTTATTTCTGACTTAGACAATATGTGTGAGAGAGTGCCAAGCCGTATAGGATGGCAGTTAAAGTAGGCCGTGGTTCTATAGCTATTTCCAGCTCTACTGCAACAAACGATCGTAGGAGGACCGTAAATTATCCGAATAGTGCTTGCGCTCATTCACCGACGTAATCGAACGTCCATCGGTCTGTCGGTTTGTCCGTAGGAGATAAACTTTTACGATCGACCGTAAACCCGATTGCGAATTAGAATTCTGTTATAGAACGGAATTGTTATAGACTATATGGTGATATATCCTTGTAGGTTTTCACCTCTAATGCGGTATATGCTCTCTATAAAACGCATACTATTTTTATTGTTCATCTGTAGCGTTTTATAGACAGAGATCCTAGGCTCTATCTGACCTAGCATCGTGAACTGGGAAAAATCTCTTCAGGCAGTACTTGGGGCTAGCTTTCATCTAGGACTTGCTTAGAGTGTGCTGTGAATTGGATTGTTCGGTTTGGTTTTAATGACCCCACATACGAGTCTCATCATATCACTGGATGAGTTTCCTCTACAGAAACCAGAGCCTTGAAAATATTTTCCTGGTTTTTCTCTTGTCCGTTTTGATCAGAACGTTTCTTGACGCAATCCTCTATAATGGATAGCTTCCCAGATACAGTATCTCGCATTCTTGGTTGGCCATCTTGTACAGAGCAGTTCTGTAGCATGATGTCTCGGACTATATATACCTACTAGATTTCGGTATTAGATTGATATCAGGTGCAATATGTGGGATTATCAAAAATGTCCGACGAGATTCGAACGAATCCCAGATCGAATTCGGATCTGGATTAACGTCAATTATTCACTTCCAATTTCAACGCGCGTAGCCGTATGTTCTATCAGATTCTGCGCGGAATTGATTGATGAATGGGATATTCCTTAGGGATCATCCGGAGATAGAAAACAAATTGGATATTGTGATATCAAAGATTGAGAGCTATGAATAGTACGTGACTCGGAAAGGGCATAGAAAAGTTCAAGGAGCTGGTACAACGTTAACAGATTTTGCCTCAAATAAATTTATAAACATATACTTCGAAGTTGAGTCATTTATTTTAACAGTGAGTAGACCTGACCAAAAGAAATGTTTTTTCCTTTAACATTTTTCTGGTAAAATTAAAGTAACAAAGTTATAGCCCTTTAGAAGTTTGAGTACCGCCCTGTCTCAATAATAATATTATGTGCTCGTGTTTAGCAACAACGGATATAATCCGCCTTATCGGTTCATCGCATCGGAAACAAAAAAGCGAAAGAATTTGGAACGATGTTTTTACAATTATTTTATTCAGTTGTATACATACAGTCAGTGTCAGTCGGTAACGCGTGTGAATAGTGGTGTCTGTTGCGTGGCTCAAACGAAATAAAAAATGGCACATGTTTATGCGGATCGGTTTCCCAATCGAGTGCAACCAACCCCTCGTGCCTTTGTTAATGTAGTACAACGGGCTCGTGAATCAGGTGACTTAAGACCTCACAGGGGACCTCACGATCAAATACAGGTCCGCACTGAAATACTTGTCGGGAGGATACTTTATAAAACAAGGTAAACATTTTTTTTTTTATTTTTACACACATATTTTGGTTTATCTTCCTTCACAATCATTATCTGAAAATTAATGACTCAACTTCAAAGTCACCCTGTATATATATAACAAAAAATAGGAAATAATGGGCAAAATCCGCAAAAAGAAGGAAAGAGGATTCGAGCAGAAAATAGGATAGGTAACCCGAGCGATATGTATTTCTGCTGGTTGGCTTCATCAGGCCTCAAATGATTGTAGTTGCATATGTGCTACTGCTTGACTCTATACAATACCTGTGTGTCGCCTATTGTACGTATGATTATACAGAGAGATCCAAACATCACTGACGAGTGACGAGGTATGGATTCCTCTGTATACAGTCACCGAGGTTAGCTCTCTAGCTTCTGGACTCTATAATTCCCGTTGCCATCTATACAGTGCCGTCAGCAGATGGCGTACATGTTGTACCAATATACGCAGAAACCTGCTACCGTATAAAGTTTGAATTGAATTTTACGCTCACCATTCATACCTCAAATAGTACCTGAAACTCGGAGCAACTTTTAGCATGGAAGAATTTTCTGGTAAACGGCTTGGATTTGATTTATTTATTTAATCAACCGCTAAACCCTTGTTACAAATACGAATCAGTCTTGATTTGAATAATTACATAACATGTTCATAACAATTCGTTTAAACTCATAAACGTATAAATCCGAACACCCAGTTTAAATGGTTTATTTTAATAAAAGTTGGTGAATGTACTTATCTTACTGTAAATAACAAGTGAAAAAATCTTCAGCCTTATCAGTTGGACATTCCGGTTTTTATACTGCTTTTTTTTAATTCGCTAACGCTCTAAAAATGAATATTTCAGCCGCAGTAAAGAATCAACGTTGGCGGATTTTGGTTCTTGACATCCTTTACGATCGGTTACGATGCCTAGAGTACGGAGACCTGTACGATTTCGTCAACTTAGTGAGTTTGATAGGGGCCGTATAGTGGGACTTCGGGAAGCTGGACTTTCTTTTCGGGCAATTGCAGTTAGAGTGCAAAGAAGTGTAGACACTGTGGTTAGGTGTTGTCAGGCATGGCTTCGAGAAGACCGTACGCAAAGAGCAAGGGGCACTGGACGCCGCCGTAGAACAACAGACCGTGAAGATCGCCGCCTAAGATTATTGGCCTTAAGGGACCGTTTCTCCACTACCAGATCCATTGGAAATGAATGGTTCGCAGAACACGGAAGACCTATTGGCATGCGAAGTGTTTACCGACGAATGAGAAGTTTTGGCTTGTTTT